AGTTATGTGAGGGAGGATGTTTCTAACAGGTGTGAGTTCTTCTTTTATGAACAGGATGCAAATAGTAGAGCTGTAGAAAAATCATAGCACTGCTGGTTGCTAATCATAGTTATGAGAGCTAAAGACCTGAGTGGAAAATTAAGAATGTATACAGTTAATGAGCAACTGCCAGATTGCATATTTCATTCTGTCAAAACAGCATCAGGGTAACAGTGTGGGGTTGGCTAAAAATTAAGGGAGGGGACAGGGGGGAAACCTTGCCTGGTGCTGGTACCTCAGCCATGGCAGCAGTATAAGTTTCCAAAAGAAAACAGAAACTGAAGTGTCATGTTTTCTTTTACAGAAGGTCTAGACTTGGCTCTGCTGACTTCCAGAGAACCCTACAATTTTTACTTGACAAGTTAAGAAAAGTCAAGTGTACCAAATCCTATGAAAAATGTATTATTTTTTTGTTTTTAAGTAAAAAAGCCTCACCACCCAAAAAAACATGAAGCGAAGGACTGTGATTGCTGGTGTTATCCTGTTTATGAAACTCTTCGTATCTTGTGGACCCTGGAAAATCAAAAATGTATAGAAAAGCAGGAAGAGAGGAGATTTAGATTAGACATTGGGAGGAAGTTCTTCACTATCAGGGTGGTGAGACCCTGGCCGAGGCTGCCCAGGGAAGCTGTGGCTGCCCCATCCCTGGCAGTGTTGAAGGGCAGGTTGGATGGGGCTTGGAGCAGCCTGGGCTGGTGGGAGGTGTCCCTGCCCAGGCAGGAGGTTGGAACTAGATGATTTTTTAGGTCCCTTCTGACCCAAACCAGTCTGGGATTCTATGAAAATTAAAATGGAGCACAAGAGGGCACGCAGAGTATGTTGCTGCCCACACAGGATTAATTCTGTGGCCAAGCAGTGGCTGTAGATACCTCTCTGGAGGTCGGTGTGTGCATTTTGGTGACACTTACTCATGCAAAGTAACTGTTAGAATTCCTCTGCCTGAAGAATTCTGGCAGCTCACCTGCCAGCATCTTCAGTCTGCTATTCAGCAACTTAAAGAGCTCACCCTTTTAAATTCTTAAAACCTGCAGAATTTCCCTAGAATCACTCCATGTCAGGATGAGCTGTGTGTATTATGCCTGGTGCTCCCTTGGCTGGTGTTGGAGTGGTTGGTTTATTTTTACCTGCAGTCTAATCAGTCCTCTGCTGGTGGCTTTTCATTAGCTGCTGCTGCTCTCCCAGTAGCGGTGGGGATGCGGAGCCTGATGGCAGTCTGTAACTTCTCCTGGTGCCCTGAAGCTCAACAACAGAAGCTGATTGACTCAGTTAGGGCCCCAGTCTCTAACAGCAAACGCAATCAATAAATCTTTGTTGGTAAATAATTGCTATTGAACAGAGTTTTAATATAAATTTATGAGTGGTGTTTTATCACAGCTTGAGGCTACAGCAAGCCGCTGAGTGATGGATTTCAGATAACACTTACATTCATTACATTAACTTTGTAAGTTATTTAAAGCTTGTACACTTAACATTGCTTTTGGCTTGCAATGACCTCCTGGGACTAGACGTAGCATACACGTTGCTAATAAAGAGCTTGCAGTGCCTACAGACGGCTCCTCCGCTCGCTCCGTGCGGTGCTGCAGGTCTTGGAGCAAAACCCAAGGTATGAAGCTCATGCACTCCACTGGAAGGCTTTTCCTCTGGCTCATTAAAAGTACAGCCAGTGCAGCTGGAGCAGCGTTCCTCCCTAAGACCCAGAATTGCAGTTTGGGAGAGAAGGTGTGAAATTCTTCTCGGTTTGGGAGCAAATCGGAGGTGTGAAAGTCTGAGCGTTGAGTCTGGAGGCTTTGGGGCTGCTCCACCAAACTGCAGGGCTGAAGTTGCAGATGGAAGACTAACAAATCAGGGATTTCATACACATGAGGAGGAGTAGTGTTACCTGATTGATGATCATTTGAGGCAGAGATTATTTCAACAACAAAAATCAGTATTTTGAAGTAGAAGCTGATACTCCCTTCCTGTGTAGCTCAGTGCCTAGATGTGATTTTTCTGCTGTGCTGTGTGTACCTGGGGGCCTGTTTGGCCATGACTGGAGATGTGCCCAAGCCACCTCAGAATTGCCTTGGAGGTACTGAAGGTCAGTGGGAACCCACATATCTCACTTCCCAGGCACAGTATCCAGTGTGACTTAGATGTAGACATAATGTGACTGAAGTGAAGGGCTTTTTCTGTTTGCTTTTTTTAAGTAACATTTCTTGTCATATCTGGGCCATTTATTTTTTTTTAAATTTAGTTAATGTTAAAGTGCATTTATAACTGATCTAAACTCCAATACTAAGAGCATTTCTCCAGGCCATTCCATATAATTACCACAGACAAAGTGGCATTCTCTGGCCTTGGGGGAAAAAAGTGTGGTTTCTATGGGCTTCTCTGCTTCATAACACTTTCAGTTAGCTCCTTGTATTCAGATAAGTTTCTTCTGCAGGTCCTGAATATATTTTTAATTCTCACCTAATACAAAAATCTGTTCATTTTGTCAAGGTGGTGCCCAAAGAAAATTAAATAGGAAGTTTGGTTTGTTAGTTTGGCATAAGTAGGTACATTGTCTGTATTTACTGCTGAGTGTCTTTTTAACATGAATGCACAGGATTCCACTCTTAAAAGCAAGATGAAACCCCATTTGAATCATTGTCTTCATTTCTGTCCACAATTAGAATTTTGTAATTCACACCTAGATAGTAGCAAAACCTCTGTGTAGTAAAAATAATTAAAGTAGGGGGGTTTTACTATTTACTGAGTTTATAATTGTCATGAATTAGAAATTAAGTAGACAATGGCACGTTTTGTGACTAGCAAAGAAACAGTTAAAAAGGTGTGAAATATATATATATACACACACACACTTTCTTCAAAACTTAAAAAAAAGACAAGAGGGGGAAAGAAAACTCGTGGTTGTGATCCTTGCAGCTTTTTCCCCATTAAAAGGTCTGAAGAACAGACCAGTGCAAGGAAAAGCATAATTTCAATCAATCCCCACAGCACAGCAATAACTAGGATTGGGTCCCGCTAAACATGAGCCTACGTGCTGCAGGTGAAATATGAGAGACTGGAAAGGTGAAGCGACAGATCACCCACTATAGACAAACATACAAGTCAAAGGCAGAAATAAGCTTTCATTTTTTAATAGAAGAACACGACGTCTCTAACCACTGGCAGGCGGTAATTGGGATGCGCGACTCGCGCTTGCCGAAGCTTTTGTAAGGAAGCGTTTCAGAAACCCCGTTCTCTCTTGTAAAAATTTGAGTTGTAGCAGGGAACAGCTCAAAAAAGCAACAGTCTGACCCCCAGAGGGTCAGCAAGTTCAGAGTTTGTACTGCTGTGTAATTCAGTCATCTGACACAAGCTTCTCCTTACGGTCCCATCCCCAGATTGCTTTCAGTTGCGAAGGGTTGTTCTCTGAAGTTGTATTGCAAGTGTGTGTCCAGGAGCAGGCACTTGTGGACTTGACTTTGGCCCTGGGATCGTCTCTCTGGCTGCAAAAGTAGAGTTGTTAGTTCAGGTGGATTGTGGTGAGGGACTTCAGCCAAAAGTTGTAACATCTGGAATGGAGGGAGAATAAAGCTAGCCTACCTTTGGAGGGCTTCTGCTCATCCAGAACTGCCTCTTGTTCCCTCACGGCTTTGGCATTGGGTCTGCACTTTATCAAGCTGCAGGTTTCATGGGCAAACAGCATCACTTGCTTTTCAAGGTTTTACCCACTTTAACAGAAGCTTCTCCACAGGAGTTGAAGGCACCATGCTTGGTAGTGCATCTTTCCATGTTCTGTTTTCCCATTTTTAAGTTCCATGAAAAATGAGAATGGAATAAGCTGATTTTATGGGGATCAGAGAATTGAAGTTTGTATTGGTTTTGATTCCTGGTTGTGGTTGCATGAAATGAATATAAATGTCCACTTTTATCTGAACTTGGTCTGTGGAATCAGTGGGGCCTTGTAGGTGCTGTACATCGTGTCTCCACAGGAGATCTCAGCAGAGGTGCTATGTGAATTCTTTAGGAACTGCCTTCTGACTTGGGTTTGGAAATTAACATTTCTGAGGGAGGAGCATTGCTAAGGCATGAGGTTTGATCTGCAACCCTCAGCCTACTGCAGCATGTTACGTTTTGCTTCTCCAAGTGAGGTACTGCTTTGAAGCTGAGAACAGCTGGTGTAGTCCTTGTCCATTTAAACCTGCTGGTGACTTTTTATCTCAGCTGTTGATTGTCATCATTCATCACTGATGTTTAAGTTGCATATGATTTGTGAAAAGGTGAATCCCCTTGCCCACCTCCTTTCCTCTGTGATCACACCTCTTTCATTAAATTTTCATTAAATTATCTGGAATTTCTTGGAAATATTTTGTATTTGCCCTGTTTCCATTTTGCTGCTCTTACCTGGAACTGGCATCTCTTGCTGGAATAAGGAGCCAGGAGGATTTCCATTGCAGTGTCACCTTACTGCAGAGGGAATGAGAATATAAACATCTGCTCTTCCCTGCTTGTGGAGAGGCAGGGACAAGAAGTGTCCAGGAACACATGGAAAGGAGCACAAGCTACACAGTAGGATCCTCTCTCAATCTGAGGTTCATCCTGGGCTAAGAAGTACAACCAGCTTGGTGTCCTTGTCAGCAAGGAGCAGACATGGGTAACCTGACTCAGCATCACATTAAAATGGGCTTTCCTGAGGCACAGAATTCAGGGCAGAAGGGTCTTCTCTACCCATTGGACAAAGCCAGTGATGATATGGTCATCTGCTTACGTGACTTACTCCATGAAAGCTGCACTTGGAGCTTTGCTTCCTAAATTGAAAGCTCTGAAGCTGCTGATGGAGAGAAAGCGCATCATGGGAGAGGCAAGGGAAAATGAGTAACTTGCAGGAGAAAGCATACCTAAAAGTGTTGGCAATTGTCTTGATCTCTTTCTGTGTCTTAGATGGTTGTGCATTGGCCAAAGTGTTGACTGTTTTTCTTTTTGTCCTCTGCCAGGGTATGCTGCTAAAGCGAAGTGGCAAGTCACTGAATAAGGAGTGGAAGAAGAAGTACGTGACGCTGTGTGACAACGGTGTGCTGACCTACCATCCTAGCTTACATGTAAGTGCACCACACTCTCTGTGTGTTCAACAGAGTCAGGCCCTGAGAAAGCAGTGTTAGCAGCTTCATCCTGATGTGTTCTTGTTGAGTCTTGTGTGGTGGAGAAACTTCTTTCTCTCTCTACATTCCCTTCTTTCTCAAAAAGACACAGTCTCAAATCTCAGCCCTGGTGCAGGGCTGAGTTACAGTCAAATCCCTCTGAACCCCCTGGAACAGGGGTTCCCATCCATCCCAAGAGGCAGCTGAAACGATTTATACCTTTATTTTGTGCTGATGCTTTTTTAAAGCATCCTGTTGAAAATAACTACTAAAATTGTACCATAAAACATTTTCACGTTAAGGTGTCTACACTGTCTCTGCCCATGCATCCTGTCTGCCCCCCTCAGTGTGTGTAGCACAGTCCTGAGGGACAGCTTTGGAGGTGGAGGAAGTGCAGAAGGAACAGTGAGATTTGTCACCGACTTGCCATTCCCTGTTTGCTAAATGGCACTTGCTCTGGGTTGGCACAAGATTTCATAGTCTCAGTCCTACCACTTTAGGCTTTGCTGCAGTTTCTTTCAGGTGTTGTGTCCATGTCTCAAAAATTACTGAGTAAGTGAAGTGACAGGTACCTTTCAGGCATTGCTGCTTTCCATCAGAAATCCGATGCCTCAGCCCTGTGTTCTGGAGCAAGGTTTTGTCTGTTTTTTTCACAATTCCCTTTTGTGAGGCTGACAATTCTGACCTCTTTGACCATTCTTTAGATGTGGGGAGTCCTGCCATGAAATAGTCCCAAGGTACCTGAGTTCTGTCTCAGCAGTGCTCATAGAAGGAAAGTGCGGGTACCCTGTGTCTTTGAGGCAGCCCCCATGGAGCTCCCACATAAATTCTCTCAGGCTGTGTTGGCCAACTGTGGGTTGTCAGGAAAGGAGGATGCAAGCTGCTGTTGTCTGCACCCAAGTCCTTTCCTTGCTTGGTAGAACTGCTCTATTGTTCATGGCCTTGCTGTGTACATGTTAGTTTTTCATTGTCTCTTGCAGACAATAGAGCACTTCTCCTTAGGCTTCCCTGGAGCTGCTTAGTCTCCCCCAGAGTGAGAATCCATTGAGATTAGAGGTAATTACTTTGAGATTAGAGGTAAATCCACTGGAGATTAGAGAGAATCCATTTAAAGAAGAAGTAATTACTAGCATGTAATTGTTTCCCTCTATCTCCCACTATGCCCTCCCACCCCCAAGAAAAAGGTACAGGGCTCCATGTTTCCATGTACTCAGGCCTTGCTTAGGTCAGAGATTTCCCTTCCCTTGGCTGTTCATGGGTAGGTGGTGGTAGGGGACCATATTCTGTTCCTACCTGACAGGAAGCTGCTGGGGAAAATGCTGTGCTTGTTCAGGAGCTTCTTGAGACACCTTCACTGAAGCCAGTCTCTAGGAGTATCTAGGGTTCTGCTCATTCATGTTAAAATCTTATTACAATGTGATTTCTCCTCTCAATTATGCTGGTTTAATGCCTTATTCCTGTTGCCTTTAGCCTTCAAAGAGTCACTGCACTACTTCTGCAGTACGTTTCCATAGCATCAATGGGCTATATATTGTCAATTAAGCGTTGTTAATATACCCTGCAGAGCATTCTTCATCCATCAGGCAACAGTATGTGAGCAGCATCTTCTCTGCCCTGTGCAAACCACAGTGGGAGGAAGAGCTGGGACCAGACTCTTGAAGGCAATTGCACTCCTGGCATAGTTGGTACAAAACTTTGTAGGCAAGAAAGCAGGGAAGTCAGAATTTCCTCAGGGGTATTGCTCAGTAAATGGGATTTCCCCCAAACAGGACTATTATCATAATGTGTTTCTGGTTTGGTTTTGCTGGTTCCTTTTTATCTGTACCTGCTTGTGCTTTTTTCACAGCAAACCAAAGGAACCAGCAGATTTTTAATACTGTGCTTGCATTGCTGTTTGGGATCGCTTATTATGGTGCTTTGAAAAATAAGGACCAGCCTTCCTGTTGAAGAAAAATAACTTTGTTAACCATCTAAAGTCAGATTTCTAAACACATAAAAGCCTGGCTGTAATCTAAACTGTTCATTAGCTTTGGGCTGTCTCAAGTATGCCGATCCTTTTGGTTACACAGCACTTTGCAGTTGTAATTCTGTGAAGCTGGCCTCTTGTGGTGGCAAGGAAATTTAGGAGATAATTTGGTCTTCCCACACTGTGGTTTGAGGCAGAACATAGGATGTTACTGAACACCTGTGTTGCAGGAACCTATTATAATGTTTAATGACTGATTATTAAATACTGCTCGAGATTTGGCTCTGAGTGGATCAGTTGTCTCTAGTCAGATGTTTTAGTGGCAGCTCAGGCACAAAGACAGTATTTTTTAATATAGTGGGTCTGTCTGTATTGCAGAACTCTCCTGTCATCCTCCTCGAATGAAGGATTTGCCACAAAATTAAATGTTTAGGGCAGGGAGTAAAAATCAAATTTGAGTGCCTTTCTTAGAGAGGAGGTGGTGCTGGAAGGGTCAGGCCTGTTTGGCAGGGCAGGATGTTGGAATGCCTGCTGTATTGTGCCAGCTAAATGAGTAACTACTAATGCCACAAGGCTGACACAATGGCTAAATTCATCTTTTTCTTTTCAAGAAACTGGGGGGAGAGGAAAATGGGGAAAGAAAAATATATGTATATCAGCACCCTACTGCTTTCTGACTTGGTCACGTCAGTGTTTTTCAAGAGCCTCAAACCTTCCTGTCCCTTGGGATGCTGAGGAGCTATGCCAATAGAAAATGGTGGGAATAATGAGAGAGAACTTTGACCTGCAGGCTTCAAAGTTCACCATAGCTACCTATTCATCTTACGCTTCTGGAGGATAGTGTTGAGGGACTGACTAAAATTCTGGCTGACAAATTCAGTGTCAGCCTCCCCAGAGGGCCCCAGGGGAATCAGTCCGAGCATCTCTTGGCTTTTAATGGTAGAACGCCATGTGCAAGGGCTCCCAAAATGTATTCACCAGGATACCTGCTGGGCAGCCTTACATCCTGCTGCTTTATCTCAGCCTTGTCCCAATGAATGGCTGATGATGTTTCTCCTCTGTCTGAGGGTTGCCATCGGGCCACAGGTCAGTAGATGACAAAGCTTTAGCTGTGGATGACCATTTTCTGCTTTTATCCCCATCATCATCGCTCCCCCTCATTTATGAAAAGAAGAAAAGAAAACACCTTTTTCAGAAAAGGGTGCGCTTTTTCCCTCTTTTGCATTGAATCTGTTCTAGATCTGCTTTCAAATCAAAGCACAGTGCTGTGGCACCTTAAGGAGGAAGAGCTGCTACTTAGATACACGAGAAGGAAGGCTGCTGCCCATCTAGAACACGAAGAGTGTGTAAATCACCATGTACCTGCCCAGCCAGGTTGATGTTTCTAGCTGAGATCTGCAGTGCAGTAATGCCACCCTTTAGCCTTGCTGATGTGGTTTGATGAGCTGTGCTGGGGGGTGTGGGATTGCAGCAATGATTGAGGGGGGGCAGAAACCTGCCCTTTATTTACTGGAGAAGTGTGTGGATTCACCTGGTCTGCTCAATTCTCCACAGTTTCAAAACTGTTCCTTAGAAACAGCGCTGAGCAGGTGAGCAGCCTACATGAGCTAGCTCAAGGACAGCATTAGCCGTGTTGTTCTATCCTCAAAGTGAATGTATTATTTCTTTAAAAAACAAAATTCCAGCCTGGTAAGGAGGAATCCAACACTTGGCTAGACTTTGCACAAGAGTTTCAACCAAGAGTTATGTGGACACATCAACAAAACAGACCCAATTCATGGGCTTGAAACGTTCTTTGAGACCTGGGGCAGGGAACTGGGCCTTTGGTTGAGCTTTCTTTGCTTTACTCTTTCCTCCAGGAAAAGCAGACTTGGTGGGAAATGAAAGGCTATTGGACATTCCCATGTTGGGAGTCTGGAAGCACTGCAGATCCATACATTTTTCTCAAATCCCACAATATGCATCATTTTTCCTAGAGCTGCAGTTGAAATCTCTTACCATTCTCAGTTCTTAGGATGCTCCTGAATAACTTGGAGTAGGGAAGTGTGCTTGCAGATGGAAGTATCCCATCTCTGCTCATTTTTAAGAGACCTAGGTGCTGCCTGGGGCTGCTCCAGGGGAGCTGTGCTTGCCTTCCTCGTTGGGAATAACCACCCAGGGACATGGCTTTGGTTCAGCATTGTTTCCAGGGTTGCCTTACCTCAGACTGTTCAATGCTCCAAAGTGTGTTGTTTGTGTTGCTTTAATACACATATTCATGCTCTTAGGTATTTTTAAAATACCATTTTGTGTGCCCCCTTTTTTTTTTTTTCCCCCTCTTGTTTTTGCTTTAAAGGAATATAAAGCTGGATGTTGGCTGGCTCTGCAGGCCCTTGTAGCTGGCCTTTCCTAAGAACAATCCTTTCCTAATCCTCAAACTCGGCTTTGGTAAATATTGGAACTGACAAAAGGATCAGCATCTGTTGCTTTTCACGTGAGGTGTAGCCCTGCCTCCTGAAAGAGTAGTGATCCTAGGCAAATCCTGCAGATCAAAAATGAGGATATAGTTTGAGTGGTGATGAAGATAAATCATTAATGTGCCTACAACATTAGCTAGGATAGAAAAAAGGAATGATAGGAACAGTCATGAAGTATGTGTATAGTAATTGCTTATGACAGCTGATGAGTTGATGCCATATTTTTTCCCACTCACCACAACTGGCCTGGGAGCCTTTTCATCAAAGACACGTTCAGAGCAGCATTCTGCTTTCTGAATTGCTTGCCTCGAATTTCCTGGAGCTTTCCTTTCTTAATTCTACCATGTTTCCCTGGGAATTTACATGGTTTCTAGGGATAGCTAGAGGGTAACTGACTTTTATGGGAAAAAAAAGTGTTAATTGTGCTGCTGTAACCTTCTTTGGTAAAGATGCCAAGCATAAAACATACAACCTGGGATGTTTTAAAAGCAAAAGAAGCTTTTATAAAGTGGCATAGCTGTAGACATCACTTGTTCACT